ACTGAGTTGTAACCATTTTGTGTTTGCTCAGATTGCTCTGCTCTAGTGGCCAGCTTAAATCAGATTGACTGCAGTTGTAAACGCTCATCAGTAGATATTTTACTAACAGTACAGATGAACAAGCACACACACAAGCAAAAAAAGCTTTTTGCTCCACTTTCAGTTTTTGTAGTGGGCAATAATAATATTAACTGCACGACAAGCCTTACTTTACATCTGATCAGGAAAGTGCAAAAGCCGTTTCTCCAAGTTTGTGACACCTTTGGATTGATGGCCACAGATAAGAAAACTCGATAACACTGTGCAATATTACAGAAATCACTAAAGGAACACGGTCTAAAGCGCTAGGATCTTTCTGTTGTGAGTCCTGCAGGTTGTTTGGTCGCATCAGGCCAGAGGCAGTATTTAAAGAATGATCGTGGATGCCGTTGATAAGTCAGCCAGCGGTGTCAGAGAGTGATGGCTTCCTCTGACTAACACCTGGTCCCAGTTTCCATGTTCAGACTGGATGTCAGCAGAGTGGCCGATAAGTGATGACTCTATAAGAGAGAGGCAGGCGTGCCGTCTCGCTCTCTTATCACTCCATCGCTTTTAGTTTGGAGGAAAGTTTACTCCCTCTGTCTTTTACTCTGCGTCGGGGATGATCCAAGACGCACTTGTTTTAATCTTTTCAAGGGAGATGGAATCAACGTGGCAGCTGTGTCGAGTGAGATGGAACTGACTGACAGATCTCACTCTGATAACAATAGGCCTTTATCTGGTTCCCTCCCTTTCCTCCTCCTCCACTACATCCGTTTTCCTCACCCTTTTGTTGACTTTAATCTTTTTTTCCTTTACTTGCTTCCTACTTCCTCTGTCTTGAATCTATCTATTTGTCTCAATTTATCTTTTTTTAATTCAAAACTTTAGAAGAATTGTACCAAAAGTAACTATTTCCTCAATATTGCCCACCGCTGAAAGCAAAACGGTGATAAAGTGTTTGCCCATGTCTGATTGTGCGTTTGCTTATTAGCTGATATTAAACTATCTCAAGAGTGTACAGAATATATTTTAATAGATCTCCCAGAAAGTACTCATCAAATGTTTATCTACAACAAATTTACTTTTTGACTCAACTTCATTCAAGATGGATGCCACAATTCAGTCTCTTTTACGGTTATTACACTCACATTTAGTGTGTTGGTTGCTGGAACTAACCCCGAACTTGTACTCGGAGCATTAACTTATTGAATAAGATCTGTTTTTTTTTAATGAGCCAGTAACTGTGAAAATCAGCTTTGTCTGTGTTAGCAAAACCTTTCATGAACCACTCAACAGATTTTAACAGTAATGGGCATAGCATAACCAAAAAAAGATCTGCTAAACTCTGCTAACGTTTACATCTAAGCAGACTGTCACGTGCCACATGTCTTCATCTCATTCCACTTGAAGACTGGTGGGACTGATGCAAACTTCTTGTTAGTTTTTTTTATTTAATTTGAAGTTAGGTGGGATCCTTTATGGCAAATCAGCCAATCCAAACCCGTGTCTAACTTGAGAAACGTCCAATTTACTTCATTTCAAAAGCATTTCTATGAGTTTATATTTTTAAAATATTGTTTGAGGTTAGTCAACAACAAATAAATACTTTGTCTACGTTATTTTAATCATTGTCAATTTTTGTATTCTTAATTTGAATATTCCTAGGTGTTAATTTATTTTTGATACTTAGAAATTTTAGTTATCTGCGCTTTACTTGAGTAATTATTTTTCAGCCAACTTTTTTTTTCATTGTTGTTGTTTTACACTTGTGAATATTTATAGTGGACATAAAATTAGCAAAAACTAATCTAGTGGATGCTAATAACATTTTCCAATGTTAGCAAAAAAAGCTAATCTGCTAAATAAGAAGCTAGTTACACTATTGACAGAACTGTGCCCAAAAATGCTTTCAGAAAGCAATCATTGCATTGTGTTTTACAATGCACTGAACCCAGTTCAAGATGGCCACCACAGCCAACTAACCATCGTAAACACAAAACTTGTTGTAACTTAGCTAACTTACAGATATTGAGCTAAAATTTGGTTTAGTAGTATTAGGGTTGGATACCATGGCACGGGGCGAACATCAACTTAGGTAAACAGACCAAAACATAATATTAACTTCATTGCCTCATTTCGGTGCCTCAAAGAAAGCTGTTAATTTGTGCCCTCTGGTGTTCACTGTTAACAGTGACAGCCTCGGCACACAATCTCCACAGACGCTCTTGTACGCGGTTCAACTCTGCTTATTCTCGGCCCACTGTGTCTCTCCAAGTGTGCTCTCCAGCTGCACTGTTTCAGAACCTCCTCTCCGGTGGTTCAGATAGAAGAGAGTACAGCACGCTTACGATTTTGACATCAGCAGAATTCTGCCCGTGGATTAACTCTTGGATTGACTGACAGCAAATTTCCTCCTGGAGAGAGCTGCATTTGCTTAGGAATATGAGTGCAGTGTGATATGACCTGGCGAAATCTGTGATAAAACTGCCCTTTTAGTGATCTTGAAAAAGGCAGAACTTGTAAACACTTCCTGGAGAGAGGTGAAGGAGACGAAGCTGAGCAGATCGCAGGAGGTTTCCAACAAACCGGCTGCCGACGGTGACACAAGCACTTAGCTAAATAACACTGTGATAATAAACAAATAAATAAATTAATTAATTAATTAATTAATTAATAGTGAAGTCCGAATGGTAAGACCACAATGGGTTTTATTTTTTTATTTTATTATTGTTATTTTTTAACACAACAGTTGATGCCGCTGCGGACAGTCTGCACATTATCACACCCACAGAGTGAGGGACACACTGCGTGCAGACACACGGACACTGAGCAGAATTGACACAACCCAAAGTGAATCGAGTAGAACCGAGTTCATGGACTGGGCTAAACAGGTACTGCTTCAGTGAACAGTAGAGATGTTGAAAGCAAAACGGTTCAAAGTGTGCAGTTAACAAAATAGGATGCAGAAGCCACCTACAACAAATGCTTTAAGAATGTTTGATTCAAAGGCAAATTATTAATGGTTTTTAATTAAGACAGTATGTTGGTCAATTTTAAGTTTGACTTTGACTCAGAAATAGTCTTTGCTTCATAAAACTCTGTGTGAGTGTGTGTGTTTTATTTATTTATTTTTAAAATACTGATTTAAATACCGTTTAGGAACCTGTACCATTTTGAAAGTATCGATTTAGCACTGGTATTGAATTAAACCTTTTCAATACTCAACCCTAAGCAGTATTCACTCTTTAATTTAGTTCCCCTTAATCTCCAGGATGCATCATCCACAACACATACTTTGACACTCTGCACAACATCTTTGCATTAACTATTAAAGTCAACTCTCTGTGTCTGTTAGCAAAATATCTAGTAAATTACATCAGCCCAATTAAAGATGACTTCTCTAGCCAGTCAACTACACACAAATGGCTATAACAGTATCTTTGTATAGATATTGCGCCAAAGTTGGAGGCTATTGTATCTGAGTCATTCTCAACACAAGCACTCACATCACCCATCACAGGATCACATGAAATTGTGCATGTTATGTTTGAGGCTTGACCAAAATGGTTTCATGGCTAACTGGCATGACAGACAATGGGCGATATACCTTTCTTCCAGAAATGCTACAGTAGGTCCTTTGATAATTTTACAGTTTCCCACCACTGCTTCAAATACGAAACCAACATTTTGCCTCCCCCATCTCTCGTCCTCCCTCACACCTCCCTTGCTTGCTTATATCTCCAGACGTCCTCTTTCCCTTCGTGCCTTTCTCGCTCCGTCCCCTGGGGCAGCGAGCTGTTAATTGCCTTTTCCATGTGGAAGTCTCTCACTTCCCTCAGCTTTGTTAGCATTCTCCAGAGCAACAGCACGTCTGGCTGTTGCAGGGGAGGGATAAGCATCAAGAAGTGTAGAGGCAGAGAATAAAGTTGAATTTCATGGGCTCCAAAGGCACGATAGAACGACCCCCGTTTATCAGTCCCTCTCAGACCAGAAAATAAGGTTACTGACACTGTACTGGAAGAAGAGTAAATAATATAATCTGAAAGTCTATAGAGTATGTTCTAATTGGCTCTCCATAGAAAGATAAGTTTCCCTTGTGTCCTGATGAACTTCGAGATGGTTACAAAGCATATTATTTGGCTCTTTATTGTTAAACTTATGAGTCAGAGGCCTCAGTTTTGCAACTGTTCCTTCATTACGTGAGCAATCAGCGGTATAATAGGTTTGATGTGTGTAATGTTAACTTGAATGTGAGCGAGACAAAAAATTAAAACAGAAAGTAGTTGCAAAAGTTTTTTTTTGCTTTAAGTAATGGCTCCAATTCTTTCATTAGTAAGGAAAAAAAGTACCATTTTAGGTCTTGGTCGTGACCTCAACAACACAGTTCAGCACACATTCCAAATGCAGTTATCCCTACGCACTTTAATGTTTAAAACAACCAGATCTATTTGCAACCCTCTCTACAGTCACCCACGAATAATATATTAGAACTTGCAGACCACACTGAGACATCATCTGACAATGTCCACATGATCAAATGCTAAGACATGAACTACCACTGTCCCTGTGTGTTTTAAGAGGACAGAAATGATATATGTATTAACGGGAGTCACTCTGCCTAATGTATTCCCCACTAAAAGACCAATGCAGGGCCACGAGAAGAGTGAGATGAATATCAATGACTGCTGGTACGGACTGGCAGATAGAAGGAGACCCTCATTGCACTGCATTAACTTTTAATTATGACTGTCTGGGAGATGCTATTCCCCATCTGAGACCAGACTTGCTAAAATGCTACAACCAGACTGTTCCCATCTGTGTCAGCTTTTGTAACCTTTACAGTTTCTTTTTCTTTTTGTTTAGCAATTGTGCTGGTAATCATTTTCTGCTACATTTATAAACTGCAGTACAACAGCAAACATCTTTATTCTTTGTTGTCTTTTAGTTGACAATCTGTTTTTCTTCTTCTGTCTTTTGAGGTTTCTGTCCAACAGTTCCTTCACTGGTTCTACAGGACTAATTCAAGTGGATGCTGATGTCTCTCGGGTCCTCTCCTCCCAACTGTTCCACGTGTGGAGTCTGAAGAGAGGCGCTCTGGGCCAGCCAGCGTGGGTTACTGTAGGACAGTGGACCAGAGGCCGACTGGATTTAGAGGGGGGCATCCTGGGACTGGTGGGAGGGCTTGGTAACAGCCAGGGTCAGGGTCTGGGAGCCGGTGTGAGGGGAGGGGATGGTCAAAGTGATGGTTACATGGGAGGTCGCTGGAGGCCAGGACTCTCTGTCGAGGGTCACCGCCTTCGAGTTGTGACGCTGGTGGAACACCCGTTTGTCTTTACGCGGGAGGTCGACGAGGATGGAATGTGTCCAGCAGGCCAACTCTGCCTGGACCCTAAAACCAACCGATCCGACATCATCAACGGCCTCTTCAATCAACTTCACAATCCCAACTCCACAACAGTAGACTGGGATGGAATTGGTGAGTTTTTCTTTGGTATTTATTTAGCCAACAAATATGGTTCATAAATAACTGGTATGCTGCAAAAAAAAAAGGTTTTTGGGGAAACAAGTCACCTGGAATTTTATTAGACTTTTTTTAACTTAATTTTTTGATTTAATTAAGAATTTTAACATCATGTAGCTGCCTACAGCACTTCAAGAGTGAGGCATATTTTTGAAGTGTGATCAAAAAGGAATCATTGATGGTCTGTGTAGCTAAAAAAAATATTGGGGGTTTAGAGTCAAGGCTCAGGGCTTAAGCATATAAGTTTCATGAACGAAGACCATGAAAGACAATAAATCAATAAGAGATGAAGACTACTGTATGTAAGAAACATAAGGAGCTCTTTCTTTAATTCAACATACAGTTGGACAACAGAAATCACTTTTACTTTAAATCCTCAGATTGCAGGTGGAAAAAACAGAATTGTTTTTGTTGAGTCATCCTCGTAGGGATTGATCAGATCAGGGATGCCCAAACATTTTCCTCAAGAGGGCCAAAATGAAAATCTAACCGGGGCTGCGGGCTAAATGCAGTAATATAATACTTGAAATATTAATACTTTAAGTAAATTCCTTTTTTTTTAACTATTAAACTTGCAGCCAGTGCGGTGGCTCACTTTTGTTTTACTCTGCGCAGTTGGAGAAAGACTGCCATATGTTCAAGTAGCAAAGGCTCATGGGACATTGATGTCCCTTGAGCCATTGTTATTTAGATAAGGTAAGCACCATGAGTGAAGACTATCTGTACTACAACCCCTTATGTAGTCACTGGGCCAGTAGATGAAATGACTAAGTGGAAATGCTATGTTTCTACATAGGACAACAGGTTACAGCCTAGTAACTATGTCAACTGCTGGTGGGCCAAATCAAATGGTTTGGTGGGCCAAATTTGGCCTGTGCGCTCCACTTTGTGCTCCTCTGGATTAGAGTGACCGCAGAAAAAGTTTGATCAAAATCTTCTTTATCTTGTCCATGGGCTTGGAAAATTGGTGACTTGAGCAAAATGAGCTGGCATTGCTGATTTCAATTAACTGAGATTCCAAAAAAAAGGTTTGCCAAAAAAAATTAAAATGGCGTGAGTTGTATTTCACACAGCCAGCTGTCAGTTTTTTGTGTGTATTATAAGAGAGTTAATTTGCACAGCATTAATAAATGTAGTCTTAGTTTTGCTGCCAGGGCCATTAAAAATGTCCACACTGAGGTGTCCTTTGATTATCCATCAGCATTTTTCACGAATCATTGTTGCGCACAGATTCGCCAAGGTGCAACCCCTGCAGTTACAGAACATGATTTCAAACTTTATAATTGAACACATTTTACATCATCATCACTTCTTTCCTTTTAGAATTACCAGAGGATCTAAGAAAATGCTGCTATGGGTACTGCATCGACTTGTTGGAGAAACTGGCGGAAGACATGGGCTTCACCTTCGACCTCTACATCGTGGGAGACGGGAAGTACGGAGCTCTGAGTGGGACTGGGCGCTGGACTGGGCTTGTGGGCGACCTGCGGAGAGGAATTGCTGACATGGCCGTCACCTCGTTCTCCATCAACTCTGCCCGGAGCAGAGTCATTGATTTTACCTCACCTTTCTACTCCACCAGCCTGGGCATTCTGGTATAACTGCTTTAACTTGTTGAAGTGTAGATTTATTTATTTTTTAATCACATCAAGGAAACATATGGTAGGTCTTAAACCTTTAAGAGACAGTCAAGCCATTTTTGAAGAGATGTTTTGTAAACCTGTCAAGTATCAAACCATGACATTGGCCATAGTGTAGATATGTGACAAAGACCCGTATAACTGATCATTCTTCCGGTGTTTGTTTTGCAGTGTGCATTGTAATTTAACACTTCCCTCTAAGGGAGATCTCCACTCAGGCTATTTCTAGAACGCTAGTCACGTAACTTACATGTCTACATTGTCTCAACACCCATGCTCACAAAGTCTGGTTGTGGCTCTATTGGTTTTCATTCACAGTGCACCAGTTTTGTTGTGTTTAAACTTAAAGTAATTCTCAAAAACAGTATCAAATTCCAGTGGGAGGACCACAAAATGTGCTACAGTACTTGTAACAATCACTCATAATACAGCCATCATCCTCACATGGAAAGAGTTTTTTTAATCACTTTTCCAAAGCTACAGTGCAACCATGTACTTATGTCTGCTGCTCCAAACATTTTATCCATGGTAAAAGACCAACACAGGAGCATTCTAACCCTATTCCTGCACTATGTGTCCTTAAACAGGTACAGAAAACCTTATTAGGGCTAGCTAATTCAAATGAGGAGGAGAACACCTCTGCCTTCATTCATTTGATTGGCATCACCTATTATTATCCACTTTCTTGACTATCGTAAAATATTTATATATTTTTTTATTAATTTTACTGTATTTGTAGCATCCATTCAATCCATACAATGTTCTACTGCAGTCAGTCACACATGTGATAATATTACTACTTACACTCATTTTAAACATCACGATTAAGTTTTTTTTAAAACAATGCAGAAGCAGTGGCTTGAGTGTTAAAAACACACACACACATATGATGCAGCAAGCTAAACTAGAAGATACCAACAAAAACACCAACTTTTTTTTTACAATTCCACTCGCTTTCCAAGTCTGACAAAGACCTTGACCCACCGACCAACATTTCAGCTGCCTTTTGCCATTTCAGCTTTTCTGTATTTCCTGAAGTTGGATGTGTTAAAATTCAAACGTTTTTTTCTGTCATATTACCATTGAATTTCCATAAAATCCATATGCAACGTGTACAGTTATTTGAGAAAGCAGCAGATAATGTATATAAATAAGAAGCATGGCATCATGGGTGGAGATTGCCATTATTGCGTGGCAATAACAATAACAATGGCTTTTGTGCCTGTCGGCTCCCTCCTTCTGTTTCCACTTAGTTCATTAAAATGTCGAAGGTTGAAAATAAATGAATTAATGACAAATATAGGTAACCATTGTTAAGAGCATGTTCTTTCCCTGCATGCCCTTCGCACAGTGATTGCTGCATATGAGCACCAGTGTCCCCTGAGACCATGAAAGGAAAAAGCATGTAAAGATGATGGATGGATGGATGGATGGATGGATGGATGGATGGATGGATGGATGGATGGATGGATGGATGGATGGATGGATGCCCTTGTCTACTTTTCCCAAAAATTTCATACAATTATCTAAAAATAAGTAAATACATAAAGAAGTTATGTGCATTTGTTGTTTTTGCAGAATTAACACAAGTTTTCATTGTTAAACCAGACAAAAAAATTGAGTGATTTTCAAGACTAAAATCGCCAATAACTTCCTTATTTCATCACCAATCGACAGTCTTGGAATCAGTCTCTTAGTTGTCTGAAGTTCAACCTATTGCACTCATTAAAAGAAAAATTCATGGACTTTCATTTATTTATTTATTTGGACAATTTGGACTTGGACAAGTCACTACACTGCCATCACTAATATGCACCTTCATATACATTCATTTTTGTACTGTAATTTATCCGCTGGAGGGAGCTGACGGACTGCAGACAGGCACGGGAACTGATTAACGGCCCAAATCTAAGGTTTGGGAAATCCCTCATCTCCCTGTCAAGGAAAACTTTAAGTACACTGGTTGGAGTCCTAACTTAGCACAATCTGCTCAACGGCCAAAAAATGGTGATGGGACTCCTTGACAATGGTCTGTGTGATGCCTGTGGCATTGAATTAGAGACATCTTTGCACTACTTAGGCCACTGCCTGGCTCTGAGTGGTCAAAGGAAAATAATTCTTGGGGACCCCTTTATGGCCCCTGAGAAGCTCAGAACACTGAGTGTTTCTAACCTTGTGTCCTTCATCCAAGGGATGAGAAGGTTTGAATGAAGACCAATGTCTTTTTGGGGAGAGCAATGGGCCCACGAGGCCTCCGCTCATATGGATTTTATATCCATCCCCATTCACCATAACCATAAACATATAACCTATTGCACTCATAAAAAGAAAAATTCATGGACTTTCATTCATTCATTTATTTATTTATTTTTTTATTTTTTTATTTGGACAATTTGGACTTGGATAATTCACCTACACTGCTATCACTAATATGCACCTTCATATACATTAATTTTTGTACTATAATTTACGGTGTATATATGTATTTAAATATGCATATCTGTTATGTACATATATGTGCATGGGTATATGTACATTACTATACATGTGTATACTGTATTGTGGGGTTGTTTTTGTTTGATATCTTTTATTTCTCTTTCATTATTCTATCTCTCCTCTCCTGTATTAAGCTGCAGTAACATGCAAATTTCCCCACTGTGGGATCAATAAAGTCTTATCTTATCTTATCTTATCTTATCTTATCTTATCTTATCTTATCTATTTATTTGTCTCATACCTACATAGGAAACAGTATGGAGAAAATGGGCTGAAGTCTCCACCCAGGCTAGGCTAATAACAAGAGATAATTTTTCATCATCCATTACTAACCAATGATAACTATTTGACAAAACATCTCTTCAGAAATGACCTAACCATCCTTTTGATGGATTATCATCAACATATTTTCATACAACATTGTGACAAGAGCATCTCTGTAATGATGTCTTAATAACATTAAAATTACAACCCAAAAGTTTAAAAGCAATGAAATTTTATAGAACAATATAGATCCCAGAGTAATGTACTGTACATGCTTTGCTGAATCAATAATGTATCCTACATTTTACACAGCAGTGCTTCCGTTACATTGTTCATGACAGTTTATTCATTTGCAAACAAATATTTGCAACATGTTTTTATTTATTAAAATGTTAACTGTTAAAATGTAGCAAAGTGTTATCAGATATTGCTTTAATCATCACTAACGTGCGGTGAGTTCCTCTTTAGTTCAGTTTGTTCTGTTTGTTTCAGAGCTGATTGGACCCTCTGTAGCCACTGCGTGCTATATGTGCTGTGTCAATCAGAGGACAACAGCCTGAGCAGCGCTATGTCACATTATATTCACCTAATTAAACACCAGACTAATGTTAAGTTCACAGTGAGTCACAGTGACTTCAAAGACTTCTGTGAAGTCACTAATCATGATGTTATATTTCTCCCCTGTCGGCTCTGTTAGATAATTAAGCTCATCAAGTGATATTTCCACAAAAATGTGACTTAAATGGCTCTGTCACAAAAATAATAAAGTTCAGATGTCTGAATGTATTATGTTTTCACACTGATCTGACAGCTCACTGTGTGACGTGGCTGTGTGTGTATGTGTCTGCACTCAGAGCAGGAAACTCATGTTAAATTGCACAAAATGTTTTGGGCACACAAGTAACTGTGAACGCAATCAGTCAGAGTTGACCACTGGCTATCAAATCACCCAAGACAGTGTCCAAGTCTGAACAACTTCAACCCCCCTATGCCCACCCCACCCTCTCTATGTCACCTTTGTTGTTTCACACGTTATACTAAGGTGTCAAGAAGACATCTGAGGAAAGTGTTGTGTGAAAAGGAGGCTTAAGGGTGTGAGTCGCTAACAATATCAAAGCCTTCAGTGTATTTTCTCATCACTTTGAATATTTTAGTATCAACTAAAAGTACGCAACCTCATTATTTTGCCCAGTTTTACTTTTAAATCCTGTAAAACAGAAGATTATTCTTTTGGTCTTAATTAGTTCGGGGGTTTTCTAGTAGACATGTAAATTTAAAAAAAAAGTTTTAACTGAAAAAAAATAATGCAATGCAAATCAACTTCATGTGAATTTGAGAACTTCATTGTTAAAAAAGATCTCTTGCTTTGAGCAAATTATTAACAGCGAAAGACTAAGTAAAAAGCAATTAATGTAATTTTAATACAATTGTTTCTGTCAAGTGTTACTGTTTTGACATAGGTGTCACAAGTTTTGCACTTGTTTTGAAAAAGAGAAGTGCTTTGAGTCCGTCTCATTGTTCATTTGTGGCATTTCAGGTTCGTAGCCACGACACGGCAGCCCCCATCGGAGCCTTCATGTGGCCCCTCCACTGGTCCATGTGGGTGGGTATCTTTGTCACGTTGCACCTCACTGCGCTCTTCCTCACCTTGTACGAGTGGAACAGCCCCTTCGGGATGACACCACACGGCAGGAACAGACTGCGAGTGTTCTCCTACTCTTCTGCCCTCAATCTCTGCTACGCAATACTGTTCGGACGCACCGTTGCCACCAAGGTAAAGTCTCTCCTCTGGTAGGAACAAAGACATCACACTGTGTGGGTTGGAAAATAGTAACTGAAAAAACAAAGAGAAGAAAATGAGAAGCATTCCATGTAGTCCTCTATTGCCTTTGTTTGGTTAGCAGCCATCTTGAATTAGATTGGCTTAGAAGACTAATCAGTTGTAGATCTTTAACCTCTGATTATCTTCTGAATGTTTCATTAAAATTTGTCCAGTGATTCATGACATATTTTACTAACAATGTACAAGGGTTATTTCTAAAGGTTTCAGCAAATATATTGCCGAGTGACTAGCCCTTACAGTAAATGCTGCTACAAAAACAACTAATTTTAGCTTAAAGGGACAATAATATGTGTTTCTCAGGCCTATACTGAAATTCTGTACCATAATAAAGTAACTATGTCACCTTCAGTTGTTATTAAAATGCTGTTTTTATGTTTAAATCAAAAATACACTTGACTTCTCATCATATCCGTTTCTAAACGCCATGAAATTGGCCTCTGTTTCTTTAAGAACCTCCTTCAGTTCCTGTCACACCCCTTTCAATACGCCATCAAAGCCGCTTCTCTCTGCTGTTTACAAGCTGGAGCGGCGTAGCATGCTCTGTTGTAATGATAGCTTATTTATTGTTTACCATTATTTAACCAGGCAAGTCCGTTGAGATCTCAGATCTCTTTTTCAAGGGAGGCCTAAACCTGAAAGCAACCTATTGTACATGTTTTTAGGGATGGGGGAAACTGGAGTACCCGGAGAAAACCCACGCAAGCACAAGGAGAACATGCAAGCTCCACACAGAAAGACCCCAGGTCCGTACCGGGAATCGAACCCAGGACCTTCATGCTGTGACCCCGGATTTACATTATTTGCATTCCGTCTCCGCTCCGCTGCGCTGCGCATGTCGCAGCTATGCGTTTCAAGTCCAGTTTACACCACCTCCGCTCCGCTCCGGTCCGACAGACGTGCAGGAAGCAGATCGCACGATAAATTCAGTGATAAATGTGGAAGTCACAGCAAAAAATAATTAATTCTGTGAAAGACGAACTCCAAACACAGCTGAAAACAACGATATAAAGGCTTTTGTTATCTATGGTTGAAACTGTCTCGCTGTCGGCTTTCTGAAACTTCTGATTTCAAAATAAAATCCACATGTATCGTGTGTGTACACATATGTTTCATGTTTCCATCTGCTTCCCAAACAGAACGACACATTCTGACAGCATTTGTGTAGAAATATATCCGTATATTTATTAATATAGATGCAATTTCGACATTATTCCGACAAATTATTCCACCAAATAGTGTCTTATTTTGAAAATACAGATGTTGTGTTTGTTTCTTTTCCTGTTGGTGCGACGTAATCTTTAAAAATTGACTCCGGCGCAGCTCCGTCATCCGGCAAAAATAGGATCTGTTCTAATTTTGATGGATCGCCATCCGCTCACCGCAGCCGTGTGCAGCCAGTGTAAACACTCTCATTGATTATAATGGGTGCGTATTTGCTGCGGAGGTCAGACCGGAGCGGAGCGGAGACGGAGCGCAAGTAGTGTAAATTAGGGGTGAGGCATCAGTGCTAACAACTGAGCCATCGTGCCACTAAATTTAAAAAGCAGCAACATTAGATTGGTTTTGGAATATTGCATCTCAGGATACATATGAACCTTTCTGTCAGACCGGACAGTACGTTTTCTGAAGAACTAGAGCGATTACAGAGACAATGTTTCAGTCATTACCTTTGTTCCTACGGCCTGCAGGAGTCACCGACGGGTGGGCAGGGATGGGGTGGGGGTTGCGGAAGCTCGGTGTAGTTTGCTGCACTGAGAAGTAGTACTGGGAGCTCAGCAGACATGGTTTTCACCGGGTGTTTGCTAGTTTTTGCTGCCCTGAAGGAGTTGCGGGGCGGACAGGGGGGTGGGGGAGGTGTGCTCTGTGTTGAGGAAGCTCAGCTTTGAGACACAGCCCAGAGGAGGAGCTGATCCCAAAAGGCGGTTCTAGACCCAACCGGTCGTTTTTGCTCCCCTGCCTGGCTGCCTCAGGACACCACAGGATTTCTCACACATGCATGAATGAGTCAAATCAAGACTCTGGGCATGTTTTTGATGAGAGAGGATAACATTATAACATGATATAAAGCTCAAAAATGTTGATTTTACATGATGCTGCCTCTTTAATTTCTGTCAAATCAACAAATTATAGCTATTGTGTTGTTCAATTGACTGTGGTAGCCATCTTGAGCAACACTCATTCTAAAAGTTATTCAGTTGTAGAAGAATGTTTGTGGATTAATATTTTTAAGTTTTATAAAATTCTGTCCAGTGGTTCATGAGAGGGCGGCACGGTGGCTCAGTTGGTAGAGCTGATGCCTCTCAGCAAGAAGGTCACCGGTTCAAATCCCGGTCCAGGGACCTTTCTGGGTAGAGCATGCATGTTCTCTCCATGCATGCGTGGGTTCTCTCTGGGTACTCTGGCATCCTCCCACAGACCAAAAGCATGACTGTCAGGTTAATTGATAACTCTAAATTGTCCCTAGGTGTGAGTGAGAGAGTGAATGGTTGTTTGTATCGTTTGTCTCTGTGTGTGGCCCTGTGATGGACTTGCGACCTGTCCAGGGTGTACCCCGCCCCTCGCACTGTGACTGCTGGATATGGGCACCAGTGACCCACACAACCCTGAAAAGGAAGAAGTGTGTACAGAAAACGGATGGATGGTTCTTGAGATATTTTGCTAACAGACAAGAAGTCCACACTAAATAGTAAAGAGGCAAATTTTAAATAAAAGTCTCTTGCAATGAGTAGTGTTAAATTTCAGTTTAGTTTCTCAAAAATAGATTGGAAATTTGTTCTTGTATTCTTAAGATCAGGTGTCTGTGGTGGCCCTGTATTGGGTTAATTCCAAAATTAGAGCTATTAATGTGTTAGAGGTATATCCGAGGATTACTTTCTAAGATTTTTGTAAAAATTTATCCAGTGGTTCATGAGATACAGCGGGTAAGATAAGTATTGAACACGTCACCATTTTTCTCAGTAAATATATTGCTAGAGGTGCTAATGACATGAAATTTTCACCAGATGTTGGTAACAACCCAAGTGATCCATACATACAAAGAAATCAAACCATAAATGTCCAGAAATGAAG